AACACGGTATACGGTATTATCACGATATTGAAATAAGTTGTGCAAAAATGTGTTGTAAAACTACAACAGGTTTAATAGCTTTTTCTCTAAACATTTAAATACAATAAAACAATACAAATATATATATATAAAGTAAACATGTTTCAAACAGATTTATGTGCAAAAGAATTATAAAGAACAATAGGTAACTTTTTACAATAAGGTCTCATTAGTTAACACATGGATTCTTCAATGATATCTATTTTTTTTTACAGAAGTCATTATTGTTTGTCAACGTTCATTTTTATTTCATGTTATCTATCTCAGGTCCATACAGTTACAACTTTTGATTTTAATAATGTAGTATGAAACTTTGAAATTAACATTGACTTTAGAAGTGTTTTTCATTAATGAATAAACTAATGTTAACTAATGGAGCCATATTGTAAAGTGCTACCGAACAATAATAAAGAATCCAAACATTTTCAATCAAAATCTGTTACAGTTAGTATGTTCGTAGTTTCGTTTTCATGGACTTTTAGTTTATTTTCATCAGTCACATGTTCCTTTGTTTGAATTTCCACCTCGTCTTAGTCTCTATGGTTACTAAAATGATTAGTTCGTTGTTTTCAGTTGTGTATCGTTAATTTACCTCGTTTGAGTTACTACTTAAGCTCTTCCTTTTCCTGTGTTTGGTGTCCGGTCTCGTTTGCGTCAGCATCTGTGAAAGTTGCTTTAATTCTGAGCCCGTTGTGGATTACTGTATGGACTTTTATTTAGAGTCAGACTCAGACTCAGCTTTATTGTCCCATTTAGGGAAACTATGATTGCAGCAAGGTGCCTGAGCACTAACCATGTCAATGTACATATCAAATAGACTATTGTATCCATAAAAAAATAAATTGCCCCAAAACACACATTAACATACCATACTCTATTCTTAATTCATACATTATGTATACTAAGTACCCTCTCCTCCAGGCCTGAACAGTTCAGTAGCTTAATGGCCACAGTCACAAATGAATCTTTAGTTCTTTGTGTCCGGCTTGCAGGCGCTCTAAAACGATAGCCTGATTGCAACGCCTGGAACTCAGTTCGAAGTGGATGGTCAACAGTACAAAGAATAACCTGAGTCTTCTTGAAAAATGTCAGAAGGACCAATCTGGGGTGCGTTTCCCAAAGCCAACTATGGTCGCAAGTTCCGTCGTTACCAATTGAGTTCAATGGAAATTGCAATCATAGTTGGATAACGATGCTTTTGGGAAACGCACCCCAGATCAATACCAATGTTCTTCCCTGCTACCTTTACAAAGACCACTTAGCCTGTTTTTGTTAGACAAACTTACCATACCATGCCACAATACAAAAGGAAAGGACAGATTCAATCAATTGTTTGTAAAACAGTATCATCATAGAAGGACAAGCTCTAAAAGATTTTAATTTCCTCAAAAAATACAACCTTTGTTGGAACCTTTTACAAACAGTCAGAACATTGGGTTGGAGGTAGCCTGGTTAAAACCAGACCATTCTCTTATTGGGTTATGGTCTGGCAAAGCGTCATAGACAAATCATTTCCAGAGGGGCGTCACCAACGGACGTCGCGGATAGACCTAAAACCAATCAGAGCGATGAAGGAGATGACGTATGCAGAGCGGCGGAGAAACTTCTCCGTGTGTTGTTTGCTCGGTTTTTAACAAAAAGGAAACGTTCAAATCGCTTAAAACACACGCGATAGGTGATTCGAACAAGTGATGTTCGACGGCGGCATCCATCTTTGTAATGTAGGCTACAAAATCTGCTTCAAAAATCCCAGCGCTGTCGTCATCGTGTAAAGCCCGCCCCAACGTTTCTGATTGGTGCCGCGATTTCGGCGGATTGGAAATGGGCTTGAATGAGCTCTTTGCCAGACTAACTTTCAGAGCAAATCTAAATTTGCCGGAAGTTGTCTAGGTTTTCTCAGGCTAGGTTGGAGGCTCAACTTATTGTCAATGACCACCCCCAAGTATTTGTGAGTGTCAACAATTTCAATGTCCAAACCTTTAAATAGGTTAAATTAAAACCTATAAATGAATTGTTGTCATCAGAGGACTTGTCCTTTGTTTCATTAACATTGAGCTGAAGAGAAAATCGATCGCAGCACGACACAAAGTCCACAGATCCTGTGCCACAGACAGTGCCTCAGATCCTGTTCGTGGAGAAGACTCACAATCACGCAATCATCCACGTACTTTATACCGTTCCCATACTTACTCCGACAATCATTGGTGTACACGATAAACAAAAGAGGTGAAAGACAGCAGCCTTGAGGTGAACCAGTGGAACATTACTGAAGGTCTGAATGAACACCATTGACTCTGACACACTAAGGGCGTTCTAATAGAAAACCCCAAATCCACCAAACAATATTGAGATCCAAGTTAAAAAGAGAAATAAGTTTCTCTGCCAACAAATGGAGCCATATTGTATTAAAGGCCAAAGAAAAATCATAATAGTAGTCTAGCATGCGTGTTTGGTTTTTCCAAGTGTCTGAACAAACAATAAAGTAAGGTCATCTTTAGACTGCTGTAAAATTTCTCCCCATACTTTTTTTAAAATTCCTTTTATTTTTGCACATCTAACTATAAAGTATGCGATTTCGGATGCAGCAAATTAAAACATGAAGTATGTGGTGCATCTGGATTGCATTCATACTAAACACATTCATTTTATAGTCGGCTATATACACTGTAAAAAAAAATTATTTATTTTTTTACAAGAAAATATTTCAATTAATTCAGTGTTACTTGCCATTTCTTTGTAATTTGTTTGTGAATTTTACTTGCAGTTTCTAAATGAAAATTGTTTCAACACCAAATATTTTTTCAGAGTAGAACATGCTTTTAATGGTTGCAAATTAATTACTTATTAAAAGAAGTACATATTCCGAGAGAATGCGATTTAGGATGCAGTCTGTGTGTCAAATGTTTGCATGCAATGCTGTTTTTTTTAAGTGTTCAAACTTAAGATTAAATCTAGTATCTACCCTCTTTCCTTTACTGTAGGTCTGAGGATGTTTTACTTGACTACACATGAGACTTGGCCTTCAATCAGATGAAATAGTGGAGGCCTGGGATCTGAAATTTGAGTTCTTTTTATACGATTTCATCTCACACCCCACACCAAGATGACTGTGTGACAGGACTTTCATCATCGCTGTCTTCTGCTTCTCAAAATGATAAGAGCTGGAGTCGACCGCAGTGCAGATGCGTTTGTTTATCCATGAGCTGTTCGTTAGAGGATGACCGTACAGATCAGACCCCACGCCATTCCCCCCCACAGAGACTGCCGTCATGCTTTACAGCACTGATAAAAATTTACACAAACATGACAATCAGTTCTGAGCATTGCAAAGTCTGCTTTGTACCGTGTGTACCGTGGAAGGATTCTAAAAGATTTTTGCTTGCATTAATTACAACAAAAAAAAAGATATTTCTTTCTTGCTGTGTTTGACTTTGCACTGTTTTTCCATCTAGGGCAAAAGCAACAAGAATTAGAAAAAGAACCACCAAGTGGAGTGTCTCTTACAATTCCATTGATATTGGATATGTAATAGATGTTTCCCAACTTTGTTCTGTAATATGATGACTGAAACAATATTTGTTTACTTACATATGATGCTATATTTCTATGCATCTTGTGCGTTTCGGTGTTGCAACAAATCTTTACGATTATATTGGAAATGGACTGGTTTGCTATTGGTCCTGTTGTGAAAATCTTCTGTCACCATTAAACTAAATTGGATTTGACTGGAAAATCTGCATTGTAATAAATAAATATAGTTGTCTCAGACATTCCTTCTGTGTTTTCAATCAAATTTTGATCATTTAAATCATATTTAGGCATCATTTAATTAAAATATTTCTCAAACTCAACTGAATATCAATAATACATGATTATTTGGGGATGTTTTGAATGGGATGATTTTGATTAGACTGCTGCAATTCTGCAAACCAGGATTCTATTAAAGCTGCTCCATATCTAAAGATAACATTTAATATTCTGTTTTGTTTTACTTTTAGGAGACAGATGATTTGTAATGCCTGTTTAATGGGCTAATGGTTTGAGGAACCCTCATTCATCATGTAATTGGTAATTACTGTAGTAACCTATTACATAACAGGCAAATTATAATGCAAAACAGATGTTGCCAACAAAAAAGAGCACTTCTTTCAGGATTAAACAGCTTCAAAAGCTCAAAAACCGGAGTTTTAACAAATATATGAATAGGCTACTCTCTAAGATGTAGGCTACATCACATTGCTGCTTCCAAAATGTTAACATCTTTATTTAGCTAAAGAAACCTGGTGACGGTTGTGTATTATCTGTCTGTCTGAAACCCTCCTGAGATTTTTGCTGTAAAATCCCATTTCCATTCGGTTACTGAAGCAGATGAGCCCCCTCAGACCTGGATCCGTTCAGGACATTCATCATGTTTTTTTCACCGGCTATGTGTGTTTCGGCGCAGAGACGAAATGACTGAAAAAGAGTCTGAAAAGGAGAAGCAAAGTATTTTATAGAGGTATGGCCTCGTGAATGGTGATATATAGGCTATTCAGAAGCAACTTTAATGAGCATGTAGTATTAGCCTATTAAGTTTACAAATTGTGAGTTTCTCTCAGGAAATATGCCGTGAAAAAGAACTGCGTTTTTTTATTCTCAATTGCAGCAGCACTACCTAGCGGTGAAACACTTTACAAAAAAAAAAAAAACACACATTTGAGAAATTTTATTATAAAATTAGAGCCACATCATGCACTTAATCGATAAATGTGGATACATTACTTATTAGATTACTTTTAATATTTCAATGGTTACTTACAAAACTGCCAAGTAGTGAAGCAAAGGATTATCCATCCATTACATGATAGATGTAAAACGGGAAAATTGAGTTTTCTGCCAGCTTTGTTTAACGACTTTATTTGAAATCTTTGACACTTGGTTGGCTGCATATCTGAAGCTTAATGAAACAACACACCGGCAACTTGGATTTCTTCAAACTTTATTTAAATAATATTTAAAAAATACAAACGATGAAACATGTGAAACAACTGTAAATAACCAAGATGGACAAAGTTTTTGATTTTTTACAATAGAAAAAGGGGGGTTGAGACATGCATGAGTTCATGTGAAACCACAAATATGAAAACTGAATTACAAAAGTGTCAGGGTTTGGAGATGAGAGTGAATTGACTGTACACTAACTTTCAAAATTAAAAATACAATGGAAACCACAGAGTAATCAAATAAACCAACAGAACCTTTTCCACAACTCTTCTTTAAATACCTGAGTCCCCTCATTCAATGATATATGGCTGGAAAACCTAGAGTGAATATATGTAAATTAATTCAAACAATTCTTCAAAACCAAAAAATGGCTTCCACACTGCATTTTGTTCCTTTGGGAAAAAAATAATTCCAGAAAAAAACAACATGGTGCACATCAACTGATGTCAACTTTGATAAAGTCTTTAAAAATAAGCATTTTATGACTCTTCAGTTTTCCAAGATGCTAGAAGTAGATTATTCAGAAACTCCAATGTTTCAGAATGATGCTCTATTTTCATCACTCAACACAAATATAAGGAAACTCATACTCAATATCTGTAGAAAGCACATGGAGTAAAGCACATCACACAACAAATTCCTTAAAAAAATCTCAGATTAACCTAAAAAAAAAAAGGTTAATGAACTGAAACATTGTAACTGCACACCTGAAAAGACACAGTAAAACTGACCAGTAAACTCTGTCTTGACTTTAACAAATAAAAGTGGAAGAATCACAAGCTCAAATCAAGTTTCTCACAGATAAACTGTCTATAATGGCATGTGCTTCATGTTAAACCCCTGAGACAAAAAAGTACATCTGCACATGCACCGTGTGCAACCAAAGAATCATGACAGGCTACAACTGCAGTCTTGTACCTGTCCTGCAGGTTTTGTGCAGCGACTCACAATCAGGAAGATTGTAAAATGTAATTTGTCAATCAGCACATGCCATCAACATAGATCAAGCACATATACATGTGTTTCTGTTTACGCTTTAAAAGACAAAGGATGACCACTGGAAGTGTCAAGTGTCAAGTACTATATACTACACAGCTAAAAACTCCATAAATGCTTCTTAGAGAAATGACTGTTATGTGTTAGTTCTGATAGACTGATAAAAAGGAAAAATGTCTAAGACTGTCTTTATAGACTTTTAAATCTACGAGAGAGAAATCAGGAGATTAAAATCTACATCAGTGGTTCTCAACTGGTGGTTTGCAGATCTGTTTTGCGACAGCAGGGGGAAAAATAGACTTATAAAAGGTGGAATGGTTCCCATATTTTATGCTTTATATCCAATCAAACTGTATTTTGGATCAAATTCATCGGTCAAATTAAATGCCAAAAAAGACTGTTTGCTTGATATTAATCCTCAAGGATAAAAACTATGCAAGGTAAAAGAAAACATGAACAAGGCAACAGTAAATATGGGTTATATACCCGATATTGTGTGCAGTCACCATTTCACGTACAATGTAAATTTGGGTCCAAAATAAAACCAGTTGAGAATCACTGATCTACATTATAGAAACACTTGCATCCTGTATTCTTGATTTACAAAAATGCAGACAATGGTTTTCCATTTGGTCATCACCATTTAACAATTCAGTGTTTCTGGTTTGAAGCTACATATCTCAACAAAAGCAATGAATTTGTAAAAAAAAAGACTGAATATAATGTATCAAAAACACAAGACAGCACAACCATTATCAATACAACAGGTAGATATTGTTTCATCACTTTGAAAAGTGGTTTATTAAGTTGAGGCTCGTTTTAACGATTATGTTGCTGTTCACCAAAACACATAAGGCATGTCGTATTATAAAATGAAATCTTCTGCATTTGACTACAGTCTATATCACTGGTTTAAGCACTGAACGTAGTGAGCGTCCCTCTTTCGTAAGTTCTCTTGTGAAACTCATGCATGGGAGTGGGATTGCTTCTTCCCTCCTTGTTATCATGTTAAACTTGCACGTCTTGAGGTGGTCGGCCATGCTGGAAATGTTAGCAAACTTCCACTCGTTCACAGTGTCAAACGCTGTACTAAACCGCCACACCTAAAACCAAAAAAACATCAACAACTTAGATTGTAAAAAAAAAAGACAGAGAGAAAAGCTTTTTATGCTTGGTGTTTTAAGACAATGAAAAGACGAATACTCTTTGATAGGGATGGGAATTGAAAACCGGTTACACTCGAGAACCGGTTCTAAGTTTTACGATCCATCGATATTGTATGCCCTCGACGTTAACGAGTCCTCTTATCGATGCTCCTGCTCTGAGTCAGCCATAGTATGTAGGCTACAGACCGTGAACTCACAACTGTCCCTTTTGTCCTTTATCAAGCACCATAGCACGGCATCCAAAGCGAATTTTTGTACCGCCAAAGTCTTATTTGATCGGTAAGTAATGTAGATGAACTGCTGCGCTTGTGACAGGGCGCATGTTTAACTGAACGAGCAGAGAGAGAGAGAGAGAGAGAGAGAGAGAGAGCCCCGGTCGCGCGCGCACTCTCTCTCTTCGGAGCAAGGCTTCATCGTCTCAAAACTAAGCGCTGTCTTGCTCTCTCTCCCTCGTACATATTAATCAAAATAAACGACACGATGGTAAGGTCGGGAGACTAAAGTTTCATGTGGAGCATTCGGAGATTTGTTTTTCCTGAATTACCGCTGTGTGTGAATTGTACTAAAATACGTTGCCTTATATTCTCTGAAAAGCGTTCTGCACATTCAGCTGACATAATCCACACTTTAAATAAACGAAAAAAACTATCCAGTGATGAAATGTTTTCTGTTATGACACACACATCTTGTGGGATGTCCCAACCGCCGGGATAATCACACAACGCGCACACGTCCGATAATGACACGTCCAATTCGCGAACTAATGACTCAGTTGAACTGATTCGTTTTAATGAATGGTTAAAACAACTGATCTTTCTAACACTGAACTCACGGGACGTTTAATCGGTGTATAACTAATCGGTAACACTTTACAATAAGGTTCCATTTATTACATAAAAAACTTTTTTTGTACAGTTTGCTTACTCAAGTGTAAGCTTTAAAACAAATAAAACCACTTGTTTTTTTTTGCCCGAAAAAGCATATGACTACTTTTTTCCACACAGTGCTATCAGGAATCGATAAGAGAATCGTTAAAGAATCGGATCGATGTGCAGAATCGTTAGTGGCATTGATATTGATAAAATCTTATCAATTCCCATCCCTACTCTTTGATTACCTTGTCTGTAATCTGCCAGGATGAGGTTCCATCAGCTCGTTTTGTCTTATCCCAGAGCAGGACCACCATGCCACGGGATTGAAGAAGACTGGCACACACGTCCCTCATAGTGCAAGACACTCTGGAGAGTTGGCACAGGCTAAAGCCGTCCAGGAAGCTCGCAATGTGCTGCAGTAGCTCAAAGGGCAGGTCACTAAGGTGGTCACAGTGGGACCTAAACTGGCAGGTGTCAGTTCTGGATAGAGGCTCATTGGGACAAGCTGTTAGCCCAGGTAGCACTCCAAATGAGCCCAGGTGTCGGTCATGGATTATTCTGAAACCTTGTACCGAAGGGCAGAACCTTCTTTGCGAGTAGGTGCATCCATAGTACGCCAACGGGCACCTTTGCTCCATCCAACCATTAAGTCCAGCATGGATGTCCCCATGGACGTTCTTAAAATGGGAAGAAAACTCATCCCTGCGAAACAACTGTCCGCATACAAAGGTGAACATTGAGCGCTGTTTGGTCTGATAGCGAGCAACACATTCCAGAACAAGGTCTAATCTGAGGGTGTGGAATGGACTGGGGTTGGAGAGTTGTGGACTGGCGTGGTCACAGGCAGATGCTGAGGCGATGTCACCTACCATGGTGCTGGTAGCCAGTATTGCAGAAGGGAAGGAGAAGGTCTGTGTGCCAAAGTCAATGCGATACCCGTCTACAAAGCGGCTGTCCGAGATGCTCCTACCTCCGGGCGAGTCCCCCAAACAAAAGAGCAAGGCAGCAGTGATGAGGTCAACGCCGTGGAGACCCATTGGATCATCCGCCACCTCAAGGTCTGACGTATCCACCGCCTTGTCCTCCATCTTGGCTTTGAATAAATAGTGGTCGGATAACAGAGTCCTTCGACCGTTGATTGTAAACAAGTTCATGCCCCTAAGAACCTGGAGATTGTCCAACTTGCGCTCCAGCCATCGGTCCTCAATTCTGAAAGGCAAATGGTGCAGAACATTGTTGCGCATCAGGTTAGGTAGAGGGATGGGCATAGGAAGAGGTAGTTGGGGCAAGTGGGCCATTTCTGGATCTTGTGCTAAAACAGGTATGGAATGATCAGGTAAAACCTGCCTAATGTTTGAAGAACCATTGACTCTTTCAAGTCTGACCTGGTTATCACCATCCCCTTCATTACTAAGTCCATTGAGTTCTATTCCACCATTCACTTCACCTTCTTCTTCGGAAGATTCACCGCATCCACTGGTCTCCAACCAATCATCTCCTTCGTCTTCAGGGTCTACTGGAAAAGGACAGTCAGCTCCACCTACCGCTCCCAGATCTGAATCTGAATCAGTGTCACTTTCTTTCGTTGCGTCGTTCCTAATGGCTCCATCGCCATTTCTGACACCGTTGCAAGCTCCGTTCTGTTCACCATTGGGATTGTTCACAATTGAGTCAATATTCTTTGCACTACGGAGAATGTCCAAAGTGGCAGCAAAGCTTCTACTGTTTTCCACTGAAGGTGTGTAAGGTTCACCATATGGTTCCTCCTCCATTTCAATCAACTCATTTTCCGGGTCCAATTCCTGGGGACTGGAATTGTCCTGATTTTGCTCTTTTAGAGCTTTTGTCACAGTGGTCACCATTTTAAGTGACTCCAGCAACATTCGCTGATCCTGGAGGGCCAGAGCCATGTCCAGCTGCTCCACGTCAAAAACCTCCTTACTCAAGTTCTCGTAGGACTTGCGATCTGTGTAACTCACTGGCCATCGATTCCATTCCATTGTGCAACACACAACACTGGCTGGGCATGTTTCAAGGTGCTGTGCCATTTTGGCCCTGGCAAGGGTAAACGGACATCCGAATCCACGGTTCAAACACGGGACTCTTTCGTACGGACACAGTAAGCGGTGTTCATTCAGTTTGCATGAGTGGAATACCGCCCCACACACAAGAGGGCAACCCATAAGGTCACAGGAAATGCTGGCCTCCGGTCTTATCATACATCGGCGGTTGACACATTTCAGGCAATGGATATGAAGCTCCTCCATTGAAAATATTAGTGAGTCTCTTGACACAGAGAGGCTACGGCAAACACTGTGGAAGAAAAGAAAACAGACCGTTAGACCTGATCTTATTTTGGATACCCATGTGGGGTGTCTTTGTATACAACATCACATGGCTTAACATCTATGCATGCCATTCATGTGGAAAGTTTCACCTTCTCCTAAAAGGGATAAGTGTAAATCAGAATCAGTTGACCTCTCGCAGTGTGTTTACCAAATTACTAAACCATTGCATTGCCATTTCACAACTCTCCTAATGTTGCATAGTCAGGCCGGTTCTTCGAGGACTGAGATGGAACACGACCCCTTGTTTCTGAACGGTATGTTACAGGAATCAGACATGGCCTCAACTCAAAAGAAACACTTTCTATAAAGATCTTGCAATGTCATTTAAGAAGCTTCTCTCTTTCCAACATGACAGGGCTTGACTGGACATTTGCAGTTAGACTTAGCCGGCATGACCTACATGAAAACTGTCTGAGTCAGGGGGGGGGTTACTGGTCATAATGTGGTGTAAGCTTTGAATTAACGAGCTGACTTTCCACATAGTCCTCGTAATTCCAGCTGGGCATAGGCATTGCGAAATGTTTGTGTACAATGCCGGCGTGTCAGCCTGCCACATGTCTTGTGATGGCTTCTTTTGAAACAGGAAAACACTTCTGAGGATGTTTTTTGACGCTTAGGTGTTTGGTATCTAGTGCTCATGTGGAATATAGCATAGTTGCAACTTGCACAAGCAGTGGTACTTACAACAGACAACAAGCTTTCAGAATGTCAAAATTATCCCAAACATGACATGACTTGAGGATTTCAGTCTTAGTGGGGCTCAAAGCTACACGTACAGATGTAGGCTACATTTTTTATGCAATAACTTAATGGTCTGTTGAAACTTGCACAACTCACAATTATTAGCCATTTTTGTTTATTAGTAGACATATGTAAAAAAAAAAAAAAACTATCACAGTTCAATCTGATAGTCCACAGATATTGATGCATATTAGAAAAAGGCTTGTTTGGTTGCATTTTATTTTGTGCTGTAACAGAAAGCAGATGATAGTATCTATTCCATTAATTCACTAGCCCTAAATAAATTCAATCCAATTGTAATTGTAATAGGTTTTTTAAGCATGTAGCTAATAATAAACAAAAAAAGTAATTGTCAAGTAAAGTGCACATAGAAATATAATACATTTTCGAATGACATTCAAGTAATGTGACAATTCATGATGAGCTACACACAGAAACATTAATGTCTTCCAACAAAAAAGACTGATGCTTAAATTAATCACCTTACTGCATTAAAATAAAATATGACAGAAATATTTATATATAACTATATATAAAATATATACTATTATTATGTAACAATATAGTTACATAATAATAATAATAATACATGCTCTTAAAAAATTCGGATGGGGTGCATTCCACGAAACAAGATAATGATAGAGAACCTTTTCACAACCAAATTGGAGAAAGGAGACATGTTTTTAAAAATTCTAAATATTTTAATAATTACTAAAATATTTAGAATTATATTATTAATTTCATTCTACCCTGCCTCTGCTTGAGGTGTAGGCTATGTTTTGAGCTATACTGTAAATTACATGGAAAAACAGATCATTGAATAGTTAAATCTCATTATTTTTATTAAAACCACTCATTTGCCACAAGTGATAGCTGACAGCAGAGTTAATCCTCTCCTAAACCATAAAGGGTCTAGAACCTGTGGCTCTTAATCCTCCTACCCTAAGGAAAATTAACCATGGATTTTCTACAAATAAAACAAAAATGAACATCTAGTTAAACCATGGTAACCACAAATTAATATGACATGACTCCAGTTATCCTATACAGACATGATCCTAAATATGAAAACACGAAATGTTTCCCAAATATGACATGATACCAAACATGTTTTACAGATGCCTTTAACTCAACCCAGTCAAACTCCTGATGAAACCTGATGCAGCTTTTGTTGTTGTTGTTGTTCCTAAACTGGAGTATAACGCCTGACAACATGAACCTGACATTACCATGATCAACTATAGATCAATAATCAACGATTACACGCAAATGAACCATCCTCATACATCTTTATGTTTATAGTATCATGACAGGTCAATGTTTTAATTTGTTAAACTGACAAACACAAAGCCTTTAGCATTAGCTGGCTAGCCGCGAACTGCAGGATAATATAATAAACGACAAACATGACGTTACGTAATTAATAAACGTCGTAGACAAACAAAGATATATCATGTTAAACCGAGGGAAATATACATGTTTAAGTGTAGCTATTTTAACAACGACCGGAGCCGGTGAGGAAACTAGTCAAAGTAAACAGACATGAAAGTGTCTTACCGTCAATCTGTGGCGAGTCTTCAGTAGTTTGACAGTGGACAGTGACGTGTTTAATTAATTATTATTAATATTTCATCGAGTATAATGACAGAGACGATGTTTTCACTGCAGTCTGTATGTTTTTCTGTTGAAATCTGTGTCTCCCTGTACTGATATACTAAAGTGAAGTGAGGCCCTAGATGGGCGGAGACTAAACAGACACTAACAACCATGATAATGCCACGCTGGGGTGAACGTGATTTCACCAAGTGCAACATGTTCCTGTATCAACATCTTTGTTGATCCTGGAACAACATTCCAATCAACCAATCAGATTCGAGGGACAAGTTTACTGTTTGTCAAGTTTAGGCTTACAATCAGGGTTATGCTCCTACATCAGTGTTTTTCACTTATAATTTCCATCTGATTTTAAGTTATGGGTAGGATTAGGGGTATGGATAGGGTTAGGACTAGGAGGAATACATTTTTGGACAGGAATGTTGTTCCAGAATCAACAAAATATGTTGACCAGTCCCAGGAACATGTTGCACTTGGCAAAATCAAGATGACCCTATGCTGGTGTATGTTAGTTTTCCAAGCATATCGTCGTTGGCCAACTATCGCAATTTCCATTGAAGTCTAACAACGGAACTTCAACCATAGTTGGCTTAGGGAAACGCACTCCTGTTAAGATACTACCATAGTTTTCAGTATATTGGAGTAGGCTACCATTTAAATGGCATCATCATAGGCCTATATCAAAGCACCCAACCCCAGTCCCATATTATACCATTAACTGTACCAATGTCCTATATTGCTTTTATTGTTTTATTCAGTCCCTTCACGTCTGAAGCTGTTATCATAAACATGTTTTTCATACTTATTTGAAATAATTATTTATGTGTACTTTACCCTAGCCCCCACAGACACCTGTTGACATCAGTAGATTTAAGACAAAATGTGATTTGGCTGATTAAATTTTTTGAAATGAACACCTTTCCCACTGTATCTTTTCACTTATGCTCTTAACTGAGTGTTATCATTGTTAAATGTTGGGGAGACATTTTAAAAACTGCCCTGGTCATTCATACATGCAAATAAGGCCATGGCAGTTTTTAAATGTGTTTAGGATATTATTTTCTTTGTAACATACAATTGTTTGCTTTGTTAAAACCATTAGATTGATCTAACTAATGAACTAATTCATTACCAATATTAATGCAAAGTCATGCATGTTTAAAACCTAAACAAATTTCAGCTTAAACTTTTGGTTTCTAAACAAGAACTATAGTAAAAAAATACTTAATGTTGTAGTCATCCTCAAAAAAGTATTTCACTTAAATCACACTTAAAATGAAACAAATGTCATTGCATTAGATAACTAAATATGCACCCGAAATAGCATACTTTCCTATACTATATAGATAATTAAAAAAAAACAGTATGTGACAAAAGAAGCACGTCCGAATTCAAAGTACTCATAAAAGAGTTGGCAAAAAGTACCCGAATGACCTATTACTTCTGCTGAGATTCTGAAGTGTGCAAACCATGGACACTTTACCATCCCATGAGGCCACGGGAGAGGATTTGTGAATGACAGTGAAATGAAGTAACTGACACAGGTCACATGATAATGACAACATGGCCAATATAGTACATCCAGATTATATTCATACTACACACACTCATACTATATAGAACATCCTTTTTTAGCTGTCTTATTTTATTAAAAAATAAGTACCTGCTCAAGAGAGTATGTTATTTCGGACGCAGCCTAAGATCTAGAGAATTTCTTTTCACTAAATTTTCTTCATCATTTTTGCTCAGCATCTTTGAATCATTCTTTGTTCTCATTCACTGATGTTTCAAAACCATAAAGTGCCTCAATACAGTACATCATTTGTAGTAAGTAAGCTGTTAGAAATTCAAAAAGCATTATATTTATTTGTTCATTTATTTCACAATAAAAGACAAAAAGAACAACTACGATAAAATGCACTACATGTTAGCAGACAACACTTTGAAATGTAACACATTTCATCCAGCACTGTGCGGATATGAGATCCTAGGTTAGCTGGCCACCTCTGAGATATGGTGGATGTTGGAGAGGGTGAGTTGGGCCTCTCGGGTCGGATACGAGTTTCTGCTCTGCAGCCAGAGTTTCCCAAAAACTCCTGTGATGACAATCAGGACGAACAGCAGACCGGCCAAAACAAAGGTTTCGACAGAGGGCATACCTGAACCTGGAAGAGGATATGTTCAAATAGGCATTAAAAATAGGTCTTAGCACATCAATAAGTATGGTGGTTTATTAGACTTACTCAGACTAGTATTGTCCATGTTAGCTTTGAGCCTCCTGATTGGTCCGTACGAGACCGTGTGAGACGATGCAACATCCCTGCGTGTCCGTACTGATACATCTTCAGCAGAGCAGTTCTGTAATCCAAGGGTTTAAAGTTACTAAGTAATGTAAGATACATTTTTACCAAAACAAGAAAACTATTATTATTTTTTCACCCATGTGCATATTTTTTTTTTCTTATTTCAGTGGAAAATAAAAGATGTTTAGGTTGGCGGTTCAAATTGACAAGGACCAAAAAGGATATCAAGTGCAGGATTTCAGACTTTAGAAGACTTGGTATATATGTACACAAATCATATGGACTACTTATACTTTATAAAATGCACAAAACCACCATTAAAGTACTATAATCATAATGCCACTGAATAATTAATCAAAAGGGACAGTAAATATCTTTACATTGTTACAAAAAAAATGTGTCCGTTTCCACAAAAATATTAAGCATAACAACTGTTAACAAAATTGATGATAATAATAATAATACGACGACATGTTTCTTGTGCAGCAAATCAGCATAATAGAATGATTTCTGAAGGATCATGTGACACTGAAGACTGGAGTAATGATGCTGGAAATTCAGCTTTGCATCAAAAAAATATTGCAGTAGAAAATGGTGATTTTAAATTGTAACATAATATTTCAAAATATTACAGTTTTTACTGTACTTTTAATCAGATGAGTGCTGCCTTGGTAAGGAGACTGAATCGCACTGAATGGTAAATAGGTGTCAGTGAGGACTCACAGGCTGGCACACTCCTTCTGTGTTATGACAGATCTGGACATTGCAGTGCAGGAAAACATCTGTGTAGGAGCTGCCAACAAACTTGAACATTTGTATCCTGAACAGAGCTTCCGGTCCTCGACCGTTCTTCATCACGGCTAATGTCTGGTCATTCCATAACACTGGACAGCTGATGTGGAGAGAAATGTTGGCAGTATGATATTTGTACTCAAGGAATGATATTTAAATTGGACCTGTTTTCTCTATTGTTCCTAGAAATGACATGCTTCATAGCTTTTCCCTGGTGGACAATCTCTCTGGGTAGTCAAGGATAAGCACAGCTGTTAAACTGAAATGCACACGGCCACAGACTGTCGTCACATGACTGAAGTCACATACTTTGTTTAGTCATCCACTCCTTTAGCAACGGTTTCAACGGCGTGCCGCGTGTCTCAACAACACCCTTTCACACCACTGGTTATATGACTGAATGAAGCACTTACGACACGAGCAAAGGAGTAATGAAGCTGTGAAGGAGGGCATTTTACACAACAGACAATAGAAGGGAGTTAATAAACACAATTTGTTTTTAAATCACTTAAGTTAAATGCCTGGTTAAAAAAAAAATATATTAAAAATGAATGGCTGCATTAGAAAATGTTGATTGAACTGATTATGTCACAGACCTGTCCCTGATAAAGGTGTATTGAATGTTGCTGTAAGGGTCTTTGGTTGGTGTGGCCCAACATCTCTCCACTCTCAGAAACAGATTTGCTGGAACCTGCAAGAAAAAAGTCCAGAAAGCTTCATTAGCACATTTAACTCCATTGTCTGCTTGTAATCAGATATACAGAATATGTGCCCGCGTCTTACAAGAACAAAGACGGTACATTAATGGTACATTTTTTAATGAGGGAATTTTGGTTGGCATGTTTAATTTGTGATTCAAAGTAGTTTGCGTGTTTTTCCACATTACATCTTTTCTTTATACATTTGATAATAGGTAGAATGATAGATAGAACCTGAAGTTTGAAGATTATTTAGACTCTGAAAAGTGTGTGTGTGTGTGTGTGTGTGTGTGTGTGTGTGTGTGTGTGTGTGTGTGTGTGTGTGTGTGTGTGTGTGTGTGTGTGTGGATGGATGGATGGATGGATGGATGGATGGATGGATGGATGGATGGATGGATGGATGGATGGATGGATGGATGGATGGATGGATGGATGGATGGATGGATGGATGGATGGATGGATGGATGGATGGATGGATGGATGGATGGATGGATGGATGGATGGATGGATGGATGGATGGATGGATGGATGGATGGATGGATGGATGGATGGATGGATGGATGGATGGATGGATGGATGGATGGATGGATGGATGGATAACAATAGACAGACAGATAGATAGATAGATAGATAGATAGATAGATAGATAGATAGATAGATAGATAGATAGATAGATAGATAGATAAATGGAAAGACAGACAGGCAGGCAGACAGACAGATAGATAGACAGACAGACAGGTATTTTAACCCAAACAAAATAACTATTGCAAACAAAATAACTAATGAAAGCAAAGCTCTGTTCATCTGAAAACAAAGAACTATAGTTCTCAACTGCAGCATAAAGAAAACGCACGGCGTCTATCATGAAAGCCCTCGGTAGCTTGTAGTTTGTAATGTCACCTATTCTTCTCGACACACACCATGTAAACTTTGACATAGATGTTGTCCTCAAGTGTGAGGGAAGGAACAGTGGTCCATTTATCCTGAAACTCTTCATCTTTATAGAGCAGCATAGAGACCGAGAAATTTCCATCCTCAGTGTTTAGAGTGATTGTCCTGCGGGGCAGAGAATGTTAAAAGGCTCATTGAACAGGCTGAAAGGTTCGCTTAATGAATATTGAAGGAAACTCTTGAGTTGGACCCCAGGGCAGTCTTTTGTTACCATTAGCTTCCTTTATTGTGTTTACATACAAACAAACAATTAGTGAGGGGCTCAGCCTTTTTTAAGCTTGGAAAAACAGTGATAATTAAAGCCATTACTACTTATAGAGTGCTGGAGTCTCAGACAGACCGAGCTACGAAATTAAAGTTGCAGACTTAATTAACTGGTGATGTCATGACTTGGAGAAGCTCACCTGACATCCACTCTGATCAGATTTTCCCCGTTTTGCTGCTGGACCATGTAGTTTATGGGGTATCGGCACCCAAATGTGATGTTGATGTAGCTTCTGGTGATGACATCCGTTTCGTTGTTACGGATCGTGTTGGTGAACATGATGTGAGTATCATCCGATGCCTGGGAAAAAAAATACTTTTAATGATGGAGTAAATATGAACATCTGTCCGTCCGTCCACCTGTCTGTCCTATCTATCTATCTATCTATCTATCTATCTATCTATCTATCTATCTATCTATCTATCTATCTATCTATCTATCTATCTATCTATCTATCTATCTATCTATCTATCTATCTATCTATATCCAACCAACCAACCAACCAACCAACCAACCAACCAACCAACCAACCAACCAACCAACCAACCAACCAACCAACCAACCAACCAACCATCCATCCATCCATCCATCCATCCATCCATCCATCCATCCATCCATCCATCCATCCATCCATCCATCCATCCATCCATCCATCCATCCATCCAACCAACCAACCAACCAACCAACCAACCATCCATCCATCCATCCATCCATCCATCCATCCATCCATCCATCCATCCATCCAACCAACCAACCATAACAAGTAATATATTAACTTTTCAGAGTCGAAATAAGCTTCGAACTTCAAGTTTATTCAAAGTATTCAAACTACATATGGCCTAAATAACCATTAGACGTCAAACTAATCTTCATACGGCTGTAAAATGACAGACTAGGCTAACTAATATTCAAATGAATGTTCCTTCATTTGAATAGAGGGAACGTTGTAGTTTACGTTGGCATTCTTTTGAAACAATTGCAAAACAACTCTTGAGTTTAATAACGTCTGAGTGACATTCACAAGCCAATAAAATGTGAGAAGTTAAATGGCGACACAAGGAAACAACGTGCTATTGAAGGGGCCAAACTGCCCCCTACCACATCCGGTAAAACAAAGTTTATTGCCCTTTTATTTCCCTGACCATTACAAACACACCTCCTGATTCAGTAAAACAATCATCGTCATGACACCATCTATCATCAAATGCTTGTGTTATTTTCTTCACATCTTTTAGTTTAAATCAATCATGCATGCACTCGGAGCAGAAAACTGCCCCCAGATCAAATTCTCAAAAGCAGCTGATTTCAATAACCAATGATTTTATTTTTCTAATCCAAAAACGCCCTTCTTTGAGCAGCAAGTTTGAAAAAAGCCTGTAAAACTACTAAAGGGGGAGAAGGAGGGAATTTGTCCCCTCTCAAAGCCGCGTTAACCTTTTACTGGCTTTACAAGAAAAAGACTGGTGAATTCTGAGAGAGGTTCTCAACGATACTCGTGGTCTCAAGTACAGATTTATGCCTTGCCAGAGCGAAGCTTGTCCTCTGGGGTTGTTGTAGCGCTGTTTGAGGCTGGCTGTATAGGGCAGAATAAAAGGACGACTATAAAGTACGACACTGAATTATGGCCGGCTTATTCACCACGGCTGAAAACACAGTAATCATTTCCATATAAATCAGGATAATTTAGAGCCGCATGGCTGTTTGCCCTCCCCTCCGAGCTCTCTGAAAGGACTAGCCAGCCAAATTGGAGGGAAACGAACAACACTTTGCATTTGCATATTGAAAAAAAAAAATTTATTGAAATAAATTAAATTATTCCTAAAAAAGGAAATCAAACCCTCATGGTTGTCACTTATTACAATGCACATAATTATGAACACGCTTGAGACGTATAACATTTGATTATTAGAATTTTTTTAGAAGGTCTATTCTATGAATAAAGCACACCTTTCAGCCTATGAAGGGATTGTAAAATAAGGAAATTTACTGTTTGTATTTTTAGATTTAACAGCCCAACAGAGGCCCAATTTGTAGTTTGTCTTAAAGCAACAAGTGTTTACAACCTTTTTAAGAGGCTTTAATGTTCTGACATAAATTTGTAATTGGCTGAGGACGTTCCCCAGTCCTCGGGATTGTCTGAAGCTGTTTTATGATTATACACAATGCCTTGACAACACTAATGAGGATTACCATAATAGTGCCACAGTCTGTGAGGTTCGCCTTGATGCTGAAGACATAGTCGTTCCCAACCTCAACACCTCGACAGTCAGGATCATTCAGTTGCAAATCCCAAACCTGAGCCGAAATGACAGTGGAAAGTTTAATTCAAGTTCAAGCATGACTTATTGCGATTGATTGAATTATTTGTGAAATAAATGGCATGTGGCATGAACGTACGTAAACGGGCGGCTCTTTGTTGAGAAAAAACACACTAGGGATGATAACTTGCATCTGATCATTGTTGCAAATGACGGTCTCGTTGAGTTCTAGGACAAAATAGAAAGGAATGTTTAAATATTAGTAGATTTTATAATATGTATAATGCATAATAATGGCAATGGTACATGCTTAAGTGCTGCAAAAGAAAAAAATACTAAAACAAAACTAATATTACTATCCAAATATTATTTTCTGATATATAAATGTAAAATGTTATTTCAAAGTGTATATATATAGAAACACTTTGAAATAACATTTAAAAATATAAATATATATAAAATAGTGCATTTTTAGCTCTTTTAAGGTTTCTTTTACTAAAATTTGCCAACATGTATATCCCAAATCCAAACTGGTTTAATATGCATGTAATAATAAAACTATGCATTTGAATATTTCTCTATGTAGGTGTTTGACTAGACTTACCTTTTTCTTCAAACTGCACAGCAGAAGTTACTGTCCATATTGAGAGCAAAGACCATGTGAGCGCCAGAGTAACAGGTGTCATCCTTGAAGCAGATTCTTTCTGGCTTCTTCTCCCCTGAAATTTAGTTCCGTCTTCGGCCCTTTCCACCAAATCTTCTCGGCGATAGCTGTCAGAGCCAGACGTAGTGCTTGCGCTCTCTCCAGACGTTCGAATCACAGCTCTAATGAAGTGGGAACCTCCAGTTGCTTTGGAACACCGGCTTGAATGATGTCCACACCAACAATGAGATTCCACACATGAATAGGACAAGCTGGGGGGAGTCCAAGGTAACACCGACCAACTAGATTTCAGGCAAAAGCAGAAAAAATACTACTAACAACCCACTTAGCAGACACCGCACTACATGTCGACAAGGAGTTTTGTTTGTCATGCAAAGGGAACAGAGGTACAGGGGCAGTGTCTTGTTTTATCTCACTCTTTTGTCTGTATAGGTTTTTAAAGGGCATGGCAAACGCTTTACTGTTTCGGGAACCCCAACGACTCGCTTGAAAAGAAATCCCATCAGACTGAGTCAAGGGCAGTTCAGTGACACCTTTGCAGTGGAGTTGATGTGTTTAAGACTGTTTGGACAGAGAAAGAGGTCAGTCGTTCAACCTTGTGAGGGAGATTTTCAAATGTTAGATGGTAAAATGCAAAATGATGGCATTGGAGTCAACGGGGATTCTGCAGGTTTTAAGAATGTAAATTAAAGACTTTTTAAGACCAAGTAAAGAAAATTGAAGTAATAAATTGAAGGGAACACAATACGTCAATATGTTCTCGAAATGTAAATGTCTAGGGACAAACACGAGTTGCATTAGCAACACTTCAGAGTCTGAAAACAATTTCCAAAATATATCCATTACTTATTAAATCATTTACCAAAAAAAAAATAAAAAAAAAATACGTTGAATACCTCTGCTCTAAACCACTAGAATATGGACATAACTTTTACTGTATCTTCTGATCACGCGGCAAAAAAGGGATGCTCTTCCTCAGTATTTTCCAGTGCAATTGTCTAAAGATTCTTAAATCAAGATGCATTTACTGGAGATATACATTTTCAAGACTTCAATTGGATATCAAGGAAACGTATCAAAAATGTTTTGATATTTGTATTGGGAAAACAGGACAAAAACACTGAGGTAGACAAGCATTTTTTGCAATGTATGCAACATTTAATGCCATAACTTCATGAATTTAAGACTTTTTAGGACCCGCAGAAACCCTAAATCAATGCCTGAATTGAATTTTCAGAGGATATTCAATAAAATGATCAGTCTGCTAAGCATGTTTCCCTGAGAGAGAAAATCACATTCCAATTTACCGTACATGGCAAACTGCACAATGGAAATATACAATAAAAATGCTTCTCTTTATGTCATCAATTTATTGGTTAATTTTGTTCCATTTGAAAATGTGCAAGACTGTATTTTGGTTATCACAAAATGATATTATAATAAAAAGATATTAGAATGTTTTCCAATACAGCTTAACAGAAAGAATACAGTTTCTATGTCTTTGTACATGGTAATTCCAAGACAAAGAAAGTCTCTTTTTTCCTTTTACTTTCTGGTTTTACTTTTTACAAGTGGTCTTTATTGGAAGAGTTTTACAGACATTGAATCACGGATCTTTTGTCTTGCAAATAGCACCAGATAAATGTTCCTACATGGTCTGCTACAACTTTCCGCAGACAATCCACTGAATGGAGCGTCTGAACGGAAGACACTCCCCCAGAGATCAGTGCAGTAAAGTCAAACGATTTCCTTCCTAAACATAATGAAAAAGATCATAAAACGCATTTAGATTAAAAAATAAAACAAGACAAGCGCATAACACGATGTGTGACATATTATTGGAATGATCAACTTTACAGCACAGATTGACAGACTGTGATTACAGTGGGCTTCTTATAAAACGTTTGTTCGATTAATCACAAATACACGAGTGCTAATGATAAAACGAATCCACTGTACAGCATGTTTAATATTAGAAATGTATTCTAATTTAAATACAGATCTTTAAATCATTATTAAAAAAACATTTGTTTATGCACAAGGCATTAATAAAAATCGCACCTACTATCAATCGATCTAGAAAAAATCAATCTAGAAAATACAAGACTTATACATTCAATTATTTTCTTTTCCACATCGAGTATAATGAATAAATTACACCACGGGACAGATCGTATAGAAAGGGGAATGTGCAAAGCAAACATATTGGCGTGCTGGAGAGCAGCGGTCAGCTCGTCTCCTGGCTGGTGTTGGTGTTGTGTTCACATTACTGGCCTCTGGACAGAGACATTTACTCAAGAGCCTCGCTATCCTCTGTGAACAGCTCGGCCAGATCTGCCACTGTAAATACGGAGGCCTCCGAATGCTTCATGGACGTGGAACTATGACTGAAGAAGATGTTGATTTGAGACAGATTAGTCAAGGTCATTTTTTAAGTAAACAAAGCAAAAAAACAATATAAATATGCTTATAAATTATATTTATAAGAAGAATTATAGTTCACCTTAAAATGAACATCAAGTCATAATTTACTCACCCTGGTGTTGTTCAAATGGCATACAGCCTTTTTAATTTAATTTAATTTAATTTAATACAAATAATTGTAAAAAAAAGTTCCGCTCATGCTCGTACACATAATGGCAGTAAATTGCGATCAGCGTCAAGTTTTTAAAAAAAGACGCAAAATGATCAAAGATATATTTCCAAGTGAATCGTGTCGTATATTCCAAGTGGGTTACGCTTTATTTTAAGGTGACGTAGTTACATTGTACGTACTCAAATGAGTACTTAGTGATATTAACTAAATGTACTTACTATAGAGTTAAAGTTAGGGTTTGGTTTAGGGTTAGTTACTTGTTATTATGCATAATTTACTGTTATTACTAGTAAGCACATGTAGTAACGTGTAAATACATCACCTTAAAATAAAGTGTTACCTCCAAGTGTTCCGGGGTATACAATAGGGTTTGACGATGTGCGTATTAGTGTCCCTCTATTAGCTCCTCACCCAGAAAAAGCAAACAAGTTGTGAGAAATCAAGATTAACAAAAACATGACATGAAACCCCCCAAAGTTATCTGTGTTCTTTCTTCACCGAGTCAGATATCACCGGACAGGAACTCCGTTTATCTGATGAAGGGACCCCACGGTTATATACACCTCAGAGAAAAGGGTACATGGGTTGTATTTCATTTCGCGTTTTTATTTAATTTATTTTGATTTCTCACAATTTTTTCTGGGTGAGACAGGGTGAACTGCGGCGCTTATAAAGTCATGCAGGCATGCAGAGCAGACCAAAGGCCAAGGTCAAGAATTTTGTTTAATGATTCATTAAATTTAGATTTGTTTTTCACCAAACCATATCGTATATGCCCAGAACACTTGGAATATACAACATGGGTTCATTCTGTGATACTTTTGCTTCTTTTTAAAAAAAAAGCTTGATGCTGGTCGCTATTCACTGCCATAAAATGGATGAGCGAGAGCTGGACATTTTTTTTCTTTATTCTCCTTTTGTGGTCCATAAACTAAAGGGCATAAATTATTCTTAATTTTCATTTTAGGGTGAATTATCCCTTTAAGAGTGCAATTACTCTGATCCCATTAAGTGACTTGACAAATGAGGTTTTCTTTCCTGTGTTGACCAGGAAATTAGGGTGGGAGATATTTTAAAAAAGGGGAACTTCTAGCAGTGCACTTCTTGTATGAGGATGGTTATATAGGGTTTAACATAAATAGACTAAAAGTCAGTATAATTTTGATTTCAAGGACTATTTATTTAAAATGCCCTCCTTGTGTGTAAAGGACTCACCTCTTTTCTACTGTTTTTAGCATGGCTTGCATTCGCTCCTCAATGGTGGACTTGATCAGAAACCGATGTACAAATGTGGGTCTGGAAAATTGATGAAAAACATTGAATAATCTGATAACATGAGGCCTGTCATTGTTTTTTGTGTTTAAATATGCAAAAACCTTTTTGGAATTTGTGCGATTTTATTGATAAAAGAAATATGCTGCAAGCCAGATTCAAACTCATGTGAGCAACATGTGTTGAGAGCATGCTGAACAGTTTGTGAATGGGTTGATGCCTACTTGGTCTGGCCAATCCGGTGCACTCTTCCGATGGCTTGCAGCTCGTGGGCGGGGTTTAGGATGGGCTCCACCAGCAGCACATGCGTCGCCTCGATGATGTTCAGCCCGTTTGAGCCCGTGTGCAGCGGCATCAGCAAGATGTTGATCTTATCCTCGTATTTAAAAGCACTCAGGTTCTCCTAAAAAAATTAATGCACCAATCATCATTTCACATTTTATATGTATTATGGGGAGACAGCTTTGTGGTTAAAGAAATGCAGTGGGGGATAATCAAACAGTCCAATTATTTGGATAAAATTTGGCCATTTTAAGATGTCATGAACCGCTAACTGAACTCAACTATCTGAATAACAGAAAGCGTAGTTTTCATAGTTTGGCTTATCTAAAAAAATTAACTAAATAATTACAAAAAATAAATAGATAAATAAACCAAAATAATAATACATAAATAAACAGTTCCAAAATCTATTTAATTTCCAGAGGTTTGTTTGTCACATTTAAAATAAATAAATTAAATTAAATAAATAGTACATTTAAATAAATAAAAAAATCTTCAAAAAAATGTTTTAAAGTTGATTAATTTAATGTCCAGTTTTGTGTCTCATTTGAAATTAATAAATTCATATTATACATTAAAAAATAAAACAAAAAACAGGATTGGATTAAAATGGATTTTATTTAATTCCCAGAGTTTTGCATCTCATTTATAAGCAAAAAAAAAAAAAAAAAAAAGTATATATATTTTAAAAATACTGTGGGTATGGGTAATTAAAGGTAACAGAAATAATTACATTTATGAAACATGGCTCATTTTAGTGTCTCTACTTGTTTTCTAATGAGATACTTTATATTAATTACAGAAAGCAAAGGGAAAAAATCCATCATATGTCATCATATGTCATCATATTCAACACAAACCTGAAATTTGTGAATTCCGTTGATCTGTGCAAACTCCATGTTATTGTCGAAAAGGGCTTTCGCAATGATGTCCAGGACGCCCTGCCACTGACAGATGAGGCGTAAATGTAAGGTCAAAGGTTAAGAGCTGTAGTCTGCTGTTTGATGTAGTAACTCATTTAATGAGAGCGTTACCGTGGAGAACACAAGAGACTTGGCTCCCGGGTCGGTCATCTGGATTTTCTTTAGGACTCGAACCACAGCTTCGACCTTCGTGGAGTGGCTACCCTAAAGAGATTACAGAGATGCCACAATCATATCTGACCTGCCTGAAAATATCACATTAGTATTTCA